ACCAGCATATCAGCTGTACCTTGGGTGCCTGTTAGGGCTGGAAAATCACAGATATTTGTACTTCATAAGATGTAAATCTGGTTGTGGGAAATAAAGTCGATGCTATATTTGCTTTCTTTGTTCATGTACTATATCAAAATGTCAAGGGATAATTAAATAAAGGCCTGAAAAATAGCTCAGTGGTTAATGCGACTGCTTAGGCAGGTAGGGGCCAGGGGTTTGATTCCCTACCCTGCCGTGCCTGCCCAGTCCCTCGGGTGCACTGAGACAGCAATTGAAACTGGATGTGGTGGCGCACGGCTGTAATCCCAGTGCTTGGGAGACTGAAAAACAGGAGGATCAGTACGAGTCCAATCTGTATAGTGAGACCTTATAGACCCTGTAGATCTTGTTTAAAAAATAAAACTTAGAAATATATTGGGACATCAGGAGTTTGAGCAAGTGCCAGTTTTACTGTAGCGAGGCTATGCTGTGAGAGTTTCAAGCAAAAATTTTAAGAGGTATTTCAGACAGCAGAAATCATTTGTTGTTAGTATTTAAACTCTGTGGGTGGCTAATGCAGAAAATGCAGGAAATAAGATGGTGATGTCAAAAAAATATTTTAAAAATTAGTACCACCCTTTCTTGCAAGGCTCTATGTCTATGAAAAAGCTATTAAGCCATTTTAGTTAGCCAGAAAATTTGGTTTGAAATTTTCAAGGAAAAAAACCCCTAAAATGTTACTGGCTCTTGCAAAAGTATTTATTTGAAGATAAAAAATATTACCTCTGGTACATTCAATTCAAGGATCTATTTACAAAATATGGTAAAGTTTATACAGCAAATAAACAAAGAAACATTACCTAAACACATTTCAAGGGGACAACCCGCTAGGGCCCTCCCTCCTGTGCCTCTCTCTGGACAGGAGCTTTCTTTCCCTCAATAAATATATTCTGTTCATAAAAAAATAAGCACATTTCACATCCATGATGGCTGAAAGGGATCAAAGTCCCCAAAGACAGCAAAGAATAACCTTTTCTGTATTTCTGAAGGGTATGAGGTGAGGGCTATGTCACTATTACAGGCGACAGACTCCAAAGGCGAGGAGCCATTGCGGAGGTTGGCCTTAATGTTGGCAAACAACCTTATCTGCTCTCTCACAGTCGCCCCAACTGAAGTGAGGAGGAAGATAGGTCAGCGGTTTGCGGTCCTTGTCAGCCTACAACTATAGGGAAGACTATTCGCTTATCCAGAATAGCCTTATTTGTGTAATACTGGTTTTTGTTTCCTAAAATAACTTCTTGATTTTGAAGATATTGTTCATAAATCCTGACTTCAGCATGAGATGTGCGATACATATAATGATTTAGAGTAGACATTTAAGAAGAACAAAAAATATGGAATAGAATATTGGAGAACATTGCACACAAAAATGTAACTTTTGTAGGACTGAAACAAGGAAGCACTGAACTGATCCCTAACCTTTTAAATTTTTACTTTGAAAGAGATTTTACTTGGTCAGGGTGGCTTGCTGTTGGTGATCCTTCTGTCTCAGCCTCCTCGTAGCTGGGATTACAAATGTGTATGACTACCCCCAGCCCTAATGTCGCTTTAAAGTAATGACTCACGTAATCTCATGTTACTTTTACTTGAGATCGTGTTTGTGGGTCATATATGGGAAATGGAAGGTTGCAAAACTGGCCCTTGAATGATAAAGTACTTCCCTGCTTCATCAATATTTGAAGATTTCAAAATGACTCAAGAAAAAAACAATACACTAGGGAAAAAGAGAATCTTAGTTTCATGAGCCCAGACTAATGGTTATGTGTGAGTAGCAGGCGGAAGAGGACAGAAGCGAGTGGCGTTTATGGTAGAAGCCTGTGAACGGGCCGCAGACGTCGAGCGGTCCGTTCTGCACATGGAGCTGGCGCTCTTCATGGTGGTGCACATCAGCGGTTGCCAGACGGGGCGCCCTTCGGCACCACTCAGCTAGCACAACGTCAGCAAGAGTTGTGACTGTACTCTCTGTGGCCCTCCCGACTGTACTCCCCGGCACTTTCTCAGCCAGTAAAGAGAAGGGTTTTGTGGGTGGAGGCATCTTTATTTTTCAGACCAATTACTAGTTTCGTGAAAATTCCTTGTCTCATGAGGATGGCAGAAAAGAGCCCCAGGGTCTGTCCATTAGAACCGCCTGGGGAGATCGGAAATTCCTGAGGTGCTGCGCGACTACGGACTGAATTTCAGCTGGTTTAGAGGGGTGCGGTCCATGAGCTTTCTCATACACCTTCTCATTTGAATTCCATCCGTGCATCTGAGAACTTAAGTACTACTGTCTAATAATTGTTGAATGTTCTCTTTTCAAAAACATTTATAATTTGAACATTTTTATTTAAAGAGTGCATGATTCTATCCAGTATCAACCACTTAGTCTTTTCAATTTTATTCTAGATGTTTTTCCATCTCCAGCTCATAAGGGTGGGTAATAATTCAAACTTCTCTCGTATAAGTCAGCCTCAGTATCAGCAAACAGAGGCAAAGGAAATGGAAGATCTTTAGACTATAGAGCAGGTTGAGGTTTTTTTTTTGTGTGTGTGTGATGTTTGGGACCCAAATGTTTCTTTTTCATATTTGAAATATTTACATATCAGTTAAGTATCTCTAATCTAAAGAATCTAAAATCTTGAATGATTCAATTTTCCATATTTGTTGAGTGTCATGTTGCAGTTTAAAAAGTTTCCGATCTTTGAGGTAATTCAGATTTTGTATTTTTGGGTCATGGATGCTCAGCCTATAACAGTTACTTACTACGTGTGGACACTAACATTACCGCTATGTTGCTGTTGCCATTATTACCTATGGGGGGGGGGGCACAACAGTTGATATCACCAGAGCAACTTTGCAAGACTAATGCGGGAAATGAACTATTTCGCAATGTTGTATGTTACGTGCTGTGATTTACAAGAGGGAAGAGGGTCCAGGTGTTTGCTCCTGTGTTTCACCCCCTTACTGCTCCCTGTGCTGCAGTTGATTTGAGAAAAGTGTCACAGGTGTTTTCAGGTGAAGTTGACAGTGAAAAGGTCTCTGTCACTTGTGTTTGAAATAATAGCAATTGAGACTGAGCATGGTGGCGCATGCCTAGAATCCCAGCTCT